GATGGATATGAAAATACGTGTACACACGTGTGTGTATATATATATATATATATCAGCCGTAATTTATATCGAAGTATAAAAAAGACCGTACGAAGGAAAAGTTACATATAAATGCAAGAGGATTCCGTGTGTGTGTGTTTACCGTGGTTCGCTGGTTAACTGTTATTAAACGTTCGAAACGGTGCGTGAGAGGAAAGCCTGTCGAAGGTGGCGATTGCGCGGAATTATTTGGAATATTTCGATGTGTTCAGAGGAGTGTTGGACGAATTAATGCGCCGTGACGGCGCCGGGCTGACCGGGGCCGACGGGGACGGCCCGGTGGGCGTCGTCGGGCCTCTTCTGCTTCGCCTCAGGGTCGAGTACGGACTAGTGCCGCGGTTCACGTGCTCGTGCGCGTACAACAGTACGCCGATGTCCCGGTTGCCGGCCTCCAGAGCGATCTTCAAGGCCGAGCTGCCGTCCACGTCGACGATGGACGGGTCGCAGTCCGGATGTGCCAGCAGCAGCCGCACGATCTCGGCGTGGCCGTGCTCCGCGGCGCACATCAACGCCGTGCTACCGTCCTCGTCCTGGATATTGACCGCCGCACCGGCGTCCAGCAGCAGCTGCGTCATGTCCTTGCGTCCGTGCGACACCGCGAGCATCAGTGCCGTTTGTCCGTGCTGTCGAGGAGGAGATTCGAGGACACGTTAGAACACGTTTCTGAGGTTCTGATACACCGATAATGCATGCATAGAGAACAGAGATTGGCTGAATTGGCGTGACACTGGATGAGCCAAACGCATTTTGACGGAAACGGAATTATAAATTATTATTGTGTTATTTTTTTATTATTAATTATATATTCATAAATATATATATTGAATTATATTATTTATATACGTACATTTATGTCAAATTATATATATAATTATATATTTAATAGTAATATAATAATTATATGTTCCAATAAACAAGAAACATTAAATCAATTTTTTGGAAACATTGATTTGATGTAGATTTTATAAATAGATTAACATAATATTTTATAAATGTTTTTAAACTGTTGCTTGATAATATAATTCCTAAATATTAAAATCATAATCTAGAAATATTATTATTCTTAATATTTGGGTCCAATATTCTTAACAATAACGTTGTATACCATATTAAGAACACCAAAAACAGTAAAACATAGAAACATTATATGTTATAAAATATCATTGTAAATAACGTTGTATTAATGATTTCTTGCTTACTAAAATATATATAAAATTTATAAAAGTTTATATTATCCGAAAGGAATGTTAATATTCGAACTGAATTAATGTAGCATATTAATGACGCGTGTGGACAAATAAGGAAATAAAGAACAATCATGATGTTTTTCATACAAATATTCAATCCATTTTGCATTCTATTATATATTTAATGTCGAAGGACGTCAATTTGAACAATTTTTGTAATCTTTATGTATTCTTCTTTTTATTTTTCATTTTTAATAAAGTGTTCGAAAAAATTGTGCTGTCACACATTTATAAACTTTAGACACTTGTAGATGGATAACCGTTTCGAATTGGGTCAATTTTTATAAGATATATTCTACTTCAACTTACATCTATTCTTTAAATATTTGCACAGTTTATCGGTATCTTTTATATATATTTAGAATTATTAATATTATATATTTCGATTAAATAAGAATCGCGAATTTTTCATTATTAAAACCAGAAATTCTGTTTTCTTCAATCAGAATGAGTTTTGCTTGCTCATTACGTCACGTTAATTCAGCCAAATCTTTTCCCCGGGTCTTAACGTATGATAATGCTGTTATAATATACATTGTAAAATAAAAGTTACCAGTTTCGCGCGGATGTTGACATCGGCGAGTTGGAACAGTCTGTTCGCCACGGAGGCGTGCGTGGAATTCCTGACCTCCGCCAACGCGGCCAACATCACGGCCGTGTAGCCGGCCACGTTCGCCTTGTTGATGTCGCAGACCTTCGAGTCCAATAATATGGACACCACGTCGAAGTTGCCGTGAGAAACCGCATAGTGCATCGCCGTATTGCCGCTGGTGTCCGTCATGTTGACAATGTACTCCAGCAGAGTGCTGGAGCACTCCTCGAAGCAGTCTAGATAATCCTCGACGTCCAGCGGATTCGCGCTGGACGTGCTGGAGACCTTGAACCACTCCTGCTGTATGATATTGGTGGCGTTCTTCAGCTGGTGGGAGATATTCCTGCTGGGCGATTTCTTCAGGCTGTCGTTGAGCACCTTCATGGCGGCCTGCATCTCTTTGGAGGGCTCGACCTTCTTCCGCGGTTTGTCTTGGATCGGCTGGAACAGCGCTGACTCGGGCAGCTCGGGCTTCTCCTCGCTATCCGCCTCCTTTTCCACATTATGTGTCTCCTCTTCGGACGCGCTTTTCTCATTCTTAGTCTTTTCGGAGTGCAATTGTTGAATTCTGCAAAAGTCAGAAATGACAATTTCAGCCACGAGTAGAATTTCAAGCTTTCAGAAAGACTTTCACGTTTTTTTCGAATCTCCCGAGAGCTGCAGATACCTGTGAAACTCGGTCACGGTTTATCATTGATCTTCTATCGGGATCTTATCATTAATATTAATCACCGAAGCTATTCTCGGCGTACCCTTGGCAAATGTCAATGTGGCAAAAATAAGCGATCATGGAATCAAGAGGAGATTAATGTTGAATCCGATAAAGTGTTACGCTGAAAAAAGGATTTGGTAATAAATTGTAATTGAATTGTGTAATTGGTGTAATTGGTAAATTGAATTGTGTAATTGGTGTAATTGGTAATTAAATTGTGTAAGGAGGAGGATTTGGTAAAAATATTAAAATTTGGTGAATATTTGTCGATCAAATATTTGATTACTTCAACCAGGTAATTTAGTTCTGAATACCATATATACAGTGTAGTTCTATATACTGTATATTTAGTACACAGAATTAAATTATTTGGTTGGGGTAATCAAATATTTGGTCGGCAAATATTCACCAAATTTTAATACTTTTATCAAATCTTCCTCTTTACATAATTTAATGCTGAGAGCAAAAGGCTATAAAGGTTTATTGTACTTATTGTAAATCCAGCTTATACTGAGAAAAGGATTTGATATAAATAAGTATTAAAATTTGGTTAATATATGCCGATATCACTAAATATCTCATTATTACAACCAAATAATTTAGTTCTATATAGAATATAGAATATATAGAATATAGTACTATAGTTCTATATATTTAATACATGGAAACAAATTACTCAGTTGTAGTACATTTAATCCGAGGAACATCCTGTGGACATCTTTAGAGCATCCTCTAGACGTCATTAGGACATTCCTTGAAAATCTGTGGTAAATGAGAACCAAGCTACCAAATCCCATGCTTACCAAAAACCCTATTTAGTTGACTCAAACAAAATTTGGTTAGGATATAGGTGAACAAATGTTTTGGTTGTGAGAATCAAAATTTAGTTCACCGAACCAAAGGTTTAATTTTCTGAAATCAAACCTTTTCTATTTTCCATTTTCATTTCAGAAAACCAAAACATTTGTTTGCCCATATCTAAGCTAAATCTTGTTTGAATCAATTGAAGTCACTTAACTAAAGAGATTTTTTAATGTTCGGGCTCATTGTGTGTTTGTTATTGTAAGATGGTGAGAGCATTCCTCTCGGTTTGCTATCGCATTTCACCGTTGTAACGTAATTTCCAGAGAAAAGCGTTTCCAGCGCTAACAGACGTCGCAATTCGCAAGATTCCAGGGTTATCACGACACTCGGCAGCGCGGGGAACGCCGTTTGCCAAGAATTACGTTACAATTCGTAGTTCAGAGCGAAATGCTGAAAGCTCTCATCGCAGGCGTTCTGAGCGTGATCTTAGATTACGGCGAGGAGAAAGACAGTATACCCTTCCGCGGCCGGGCAAGCCGGAATATCGGTGGCTTCGGCGGGATCGTTGACTAAACGAGCGGCGCGTTGCGGCGACGGCTGTTGCTGCTGTTGTTGCTGCTGCTGCAGCATCGATCTGCCGACGATCGAGGACGCGCTCACTCGTTCACCATAGCAAGACCGCCAACAACGCGAGACGCACCGACGCGCATCACCGACATCCGACTCCAGTCACGGTGTATTTACGCCACCGCCGCCGTCGTCGTTGTCGTCGCACGGACGGTCTCGATGACGCACTCGGCGACACGCGCGCAACCACGGATTCGAAAAAGAACAACAAAGTGCAACTTGCGCGCTCGGCCGGCGCGAACTGTGCGTCATACGAGGCTCTCCCTGGCTTGCAACCCCTCGTTCGCACCCCCTTTACGCGGGAACAACAACCCCCTAGTCGACATTCGACCGCGGAAATGACAGATGGCGCGGAATGGGAGTCGAGCGGGAAGGGTGGCTCGGCTTTTCAGCGGGTAAGCTAGTGTGTTATTCGTTGCTTCATACAATGCCAAGGGTAGTTCGGGGGGATAAACCCCCGATGAGAGTGAGTTGTTTGTAGCACAACGAGTCCGACTGTGATGCTTCAAAACGGTCCCGTTGTTGGAGGAGGAGGATGACGACGATGACGATCTCCACGACGATTCCTCGCGCGAGAAGGATGTTATTGACGCAACCTAAAACCGATCCTGTAATTTCCGTAATCCACGGAAACTGACGTGAATAGAACCGGTTTATATATATATATATATATATATATGTGTGTAATTTCCGTTGGTGTAACCATTGATGTTACATGTCATATAAATAATTATGTTACATCTATATATATATATAGATGTAACATTATATATATATATATATATATATATATATATATATATATATACGTAATATGTAACATTAGTAGTTGCAGTATCGAGACTTATCACATTGTTTTTACGCTGATCATGTGAACGTGGATTACGGATGTTACTAATTAACTTTCAAGTTGCCGTATAAATGTAGTCATTGGGATTCCCCTTCTCTATTTATCCCGCAGACGCGAGATAAGAAAGAAGATAAAATTATGGAGACACATGGCAAAAAAGTCTTAGTTTTTGTAACCGGATAGATACCAGATGAAAATTTGCGATTCTGTTAGGCTTTTTCATCCAACTTCCGGTTTATATAATCACTCATTAACTCAGCGAGATTGATCAATCACATTGATCAGTTCAGCTAATTTGCCAATGTGATTGGCCAATTCCGTTGAGTTAATCGTAAATTAGATTTAAACCACAATGGGGAGGAGCAGAGAGACATCGCGACTGAGAACAGCTGTGTGAACATTCAGCTGCAACATTAAAACTCGATTGAGAGCGATTGACCGGGTAGAAATCTCCTAAGCTGCATTCCAAAGCCCTGTTCAACGGGTGGAGTAGTATTTAATTGACCAATCAGGACAACAAAAAAGCAAAGATTTCTTTATCGTGATTGGCTAATTAAATGCTATTTTATCCCTCGAGTAATTTTTTGAAATGCAGCCCTACAGAAATTTTTCTGTTTCTACACAGAGAAAAAGATTTCTTTGGATTTAATAAAATTTCTTTAATTGAAACAAATTTGTCTTTTGAAACGGAGCAAACGAATGAATGTTTGATTCAACCAACAAGATTCTCAAACAATAAATTTTGATATCAAATAACATGTTTCTTTTATATTTTCATCTAAACATTACGATGCTTGCCACAAGCAATAAATTATTCGAGAGAAGTAACACTATGTCAGAAAAATATTACAGAACTTCTTTGTTTCAGTGGAATAATATTTAATATAAGATAAAATAAATTTTTTATTGAAAACCAAATATTATTTCCTTTATATAATACTGTTTTTTTTTTCTATCAAACAACATGGTTTACTTTAGTGAAACAACAACAATTTCATACAAATAAAATGATATCTGATATTAAATAAATTTGATCTTACGTAATATGATATACGATATGTAACGTATTAAATAAATTGTTTATATAAAACAAACCCGACGGTCAAACAAACACGCATACTAAATCCAAAAAAAAAAACTTTTTTCTCTGTGTACAAGCGAGTTTTCCGGCCCTCAAGGCAACAGAAAGCACAGTTCCACCAACGCAATTGTTTCGCCCATATACTAACCGATTGCTGCTGTCGTACTGCTCTTTGTTATCCGCGTCGTATCTGATGACACCGGCGGCCGGTATCTTCGTGTACGTGTCCTGCCGCTTGAATTGCCTCCTGTGGTCGCCGGAGTTCAAGGGGATATGGGACGGTCTGGGGATCCGGGACACCAGGCTGCTGTTCTGATGATTCAGACTGTTCTCCGCGTTGTTCGCGATCTGCTTCGCCAGGCTCTTGATCGTCTCCTTGCAGTTGTCGCAGTAGTTCGCCGCGCAGGAGATCGAGATATGCGGCCTGACCGAGTCGCCCACCGACACGTCGACGAGCTTCTTCTTGAGCGGCGAGGTGCCGAACTCGCGGCACCTCGGCGCGAGGCCGGACGTGTCGGTGCTGCGCGCGATTGTCCGCACCAGGTCGTCCACCATCACAGCCACCGACCTGCTGGTCCTGCTTTTGGCGCGGGTGTCGCCGTAATTGAACGAGAGGCTCCTCGAGTTCATCGAGTTCAACGACACCGGCTGCAACGTCGCGGCGGGATCCGGTCCGACGCACACGGTCCTGGTGTTGGGGCCGAGTCTCACCTCGACTCCGACCTCCGCCGTTCTCGGCTTGGCGGTCACGCTCACGTGCGAGCGCATCTTGAACTGCTCGGTCACCTGGACCGCCTGCTCCCGCTTTTCAACAGCCTTCGGTGGCTCCGGGGCGCACTGGGTACCCTTGGAGGACGTGTCTCTCACGAGGCTATGCTTGTAGACCCTCAGGGCGTGCTCCACGAGCGCAGAGGCGTCCTCGCTCGTCAGCGTATCCCTCATCGTCAGGCTCGTCGTCGTTCCGCACGAACGCTTCTTCATCTCCCGCTTCGTTTCCGGTGCAATGTCCTCGATCAGGAAGTGACTGCACTGCAGACTCCTCGCTCGGCTCTCCGTGTTGGTGCCCGAGTCTTGCGTTTTTTTCGCCGCTTTCCGGTCGATTAGATCGCTCTCATCGGGCGGTATCGATTCCACCTGGAGCGGCGTCCTCGTCAGGCATTTCTTCCTCGTTTCCGGCGCCGGCCGGTCGCGCGTCAAGCTCGAGCAGAGCTTCGACAGGCTCGACGGGGTCTCGTCCTCCTCCGGCGGTAACACGCTGCTCTGGTCTTGGAAATCGGGCGCGATCTCTTGGATCTGCAGCCGGCTCTTCTGCAGCAGCGGCTTGATCGGCGTGCTCGTCACCATGCCGACGTCTCTCGTTCGAACCTGCTCGCAGGACAATCCATCGTTAACTTCTCGCGCACTCGGCGCGCGATAGCGATCGGTCAGGTGGTGAATCGATCGCTGACCGTGATCAGTTTGCGGGGATCGCCCTCTCGCGAAGAGAGAGAGAGAGAGAGAGAGAGAGCATTAGAGGAGAATCTCATGCACTCGAGCGACTCGTCGATCGAGTCCCGTTTCGTCGTTTGACGCTTTGGTTAACCGCGCGCTCGGAATTACGCCAATCGCGACCGCGTTGATTTTCCCTTCCACGCAACGGGTATTATCGAAAGCGAGTGATTTTTTTTCTTGAGAGTGTTACGAACCGCTGCATACCGAAGAAACCACGTTGCCGATGACGTATCTAGGAAGTTTCAGCAGGAAACGCAACACGGTGCTCAGCAGCATGAACATCTCGCAACCGGCGGGATACATACGTTTCTAATCTTCAATTTCTAATCTTCACGCGACGAATATTCCCGCTATTCGGCGATATTTGCGCGAATCGTGCACACCACGGTCCTGCGGTCAAACGACGCGAGGAGAGAGACCGAAGAAGCGCACGCACGCGCGCGCGCGCGCGCACCAGGCGAAATCGCCATTTAAATTGCGATTTTCACTTCTACAGTGTACAATAATTGGTCGGCGATCGCTACTCACTTCTGCACGCATGCAAAAATCGATCAGATAAATTCACGAGGCGGTCTCTCTGTAACTATCGCCTGGGTAGCCGCGCCGTCCGGAAAAATTATGCGCTGGAACAACGGACAAAGAGATCGAAGAGGGGGAAAAGAGAAAGAGAGAGGGAGAGAGAGAGAGAAGGAAATATCTCCGCGAAAGCGGCGTTATTAAACGAAGGATACATCCAATTTTCGTATCATTAATTCATCTCATCTCCTGGTCGAATTTCAAATTGAAAGAGAGAAGGGAAGGCTGTAAATTGTAGTTCGACTTAATGAATGCGGAGATGATATCGGAGTCATGAAAGTACAACGTGTTTCACGCTGTTATCCGTGGGTGAATCAAGGCAGATCTGCCGGATAGAGGCACGAAGTTGCACGGCACCGGCGGAAGCCAAGGTTCGTTTACCTGTTGGTGCGAAACCCCGACGTCCCTCGTCATCACGCTGCACATGGTCCCTGTGTTCCTGGTGGACGGACTGACACCGGAGTTCTTTAGGTTTTGCAGGGCGGCGCGCTGCTCCGAGAACGACTGGCTGCGATGCCTGTGCAGGATGTTGTTGCAGGAATTCGTTTTACTCAGCTCGTCCACTTGTCGCAGGAGATTGCGCTTCTCCTCTTTCAACACCGACACTTGCACCTGCGAGAAAGCGAGAGAGAGAGAGAGAGAGAGAAAGAAAGTATAGAGAACTGAGCGAGAAGTATAGAGATTGTATGACGGAATCGCATACAAGACGACAATAACGTAGGTAGACTTTTATCTGAACTGATAAGACCGCAAACGTGAGAAAAATACGGTGCGGCATTGCGTTCACCTCGGTGGATCTGGGCCCATAACCTTGTTTTCAGGAGGTTCATTTTGAAATGTCATTTTGTAAGTGATTTTTAGACATTTTTCTATAAAATTTTTCTATAAAAATTATAAGACATAACTTTGAAATTTTGCACAAATATTTATCTATGTTTTAACTATATGCAGTAATTTTTACATATTATTTTTAATATTATTAAACTTCTAAGTAATTTTGTGTAGCACTGAACGAAAGTTTTGCTTGGTTGTCCGATTACACGATGAAGTCAATATCTTGAATATTTCGATTCTTTAAGGTTTCCCAAAGCTGAAAAATAACTGGCCAAAAGTCGATTTCTCTCTTTCAAGTTGTGCCATTTTATAAAAAATCAATTTTTATTCTCCATCGTGATATAGTCATAGGTATATAGTTTAATAACATTTTGCCGATTTGATTTCAGAAGCCTACAACGTCCGGAATCGTGACAACTAACATTTCATATTCAATGCTAGGAAAATTATTTATAACTTTATTGATATCGAAGATAATATTATGTAGAAATTACTATATATAGTTAAAACGTGGATAAATATTTATACATAACTTCAAAATTGTGTTTTATAATTTTTTTCAAAATAATTCCTAAAGTCACCTACCGAACAGAATACTCCAAATGAGAATACCCCCTTAAGATGTATGCTGTACGCAAATTGACTAATCGTAATCGCTTATTAAAAGAATAATTGGCCGTGGTTGGTCAATTTACTTATTGCTTACGTCTTAAAGTAAGATTGTGGTGAAGGTTTGGTTTGTCTTCGAGACGGCAAATAAACGATATCGTATCATTGTTTGTTAATTTGCAGAAGCGGAAACAAAGAGTAAAAAATCAAGACAGAGAGAACGAGAGGGAGTGAAATCTCTCATAGTCGATTGTGCAAAATGATCGGTAATTGTTCTCTCGGATCCGCTGTGATTTTACACGCCGGGCTAATTACAAGTTCATGAGTCCGCCGCGCATCCCCTCGGGTATAAACGAAAATTGCTTCATTATCTCGCGTTGTCGGCGCATAATAAGATATCCCCGCGATGGAAACAAACGGATCGACGATAAAACAGTGAGAGAGTATCTCTTATCCGAGCGCGAGTTTCGCGCTAGAACGGAAGAGGAGACCGGCCTGAGTGCAAATTACGCGAGGGGGCGATGAACGTTGCGAAAATGTAGGAGGGATGCGAAATTAGTGGGAACTCACCTGCAGCATGGGAATCGCCTTGACCTGTTCCTCCAGCTCTCTCATTCTTTCCAGAGACGCCGCCATTTGTTCTCTGATATTCTGCAAAGCGCGCAAAATGCATCTTTACCCGTCAACTCCCGCCGATTATATTCGCCAAGTGGCGCTGTCAGGCTTATATCTCTTTATCTTGAAACCTACTATTCTTTTTATCTTGAAACCTATTATTCTCTACGTGGAAAAATTGATTCAGAACAATAAGAGAAAGCGAGAGGTGGGAACCAAGCGACGTGCAAAATTGTCCAACGAGGCGACGATCGTTAGCAGAACATCCACGGAACGTCGCCTCGTGAATAGCTCTTTCCCTCTTGTCGAGATGTATAGTAAAGAAATATGCGGTGATACGATCCTCCTACCTGAAGCGCGCCGGTACTAAGATTCGAGTTGCCGCTGCCGACGCTGACATTGTCGGAGTCCGGCGGGTGGTCCGTCTGCGGCGCATTCTGCGCCACCGGCGCCGTCGTCCCGTTCGTGCCATCTGACGAAGAACGCAAAGGTCAGTCGTGGGATAACCACATGCTCGATTAGGGCGTACGACCCACGAGAACAAGTTGTCGGAACTAAAGATCGGGAAAAGAAACGGTCGATCGCCGACGTCGCGAGCCCTAAACATCCGCTTTAATTGACCTACCCCCGCCGCCTGCGATCATCAACTCTGCCTTACAACTTCGTTAACCCCTTTAACTAAGCTAGTTTCAACCGTGTCCCACCCATGAGGCGGTAGTTTTACGGAGGACACGCTGTCGAAATCCCGCGACTGATAAGCTATAAGATTTTTCTCTATTTTGTGTTATATTTTATATTTATCATCATTCTATATATATTTTTTATTTTAATTTTTGTTTTGCGATTGGCCCTGATAACAGCAACTAGTCTCGCTGACTGAATATACAAGGTGTCCCGCAATTAGACTGATAAATTTCGCGTGTTTATAAAAGATATCAAAACAATTTTTGTCATTAGATCCATGTCTGCAAATGAATCGTTTTGGCATTAGAGTGAATTATTTACAGCATTTGTGTTCGAAGTATTAGTATTAGTATTACATTTACTTCAATAGAGGCAAATCAGCAATTTTTTTCTGATCCTGATTTTTGTTATCTCTTGATAAAGAAACATTAAAAATTGTTTTATCAAACTGAAGATTGTTAGGAATTTTTAAACAAGGTTGTAAAGTAAATGGTAATTCAACGTCAGCGTTTCTTTATTGTTTATCTGAAATCTATTTTCAAAGTGGACATTTTTTTTAATGAACTGGCTGATATGCAGTTTATTTATGGAGAAGCTAGATGTAAATTGATCAAGATTTCGAACAACTGCTATAAATAATTCACTCTAATGCCAAAACGGTTCACTTGCGGATATGGATTTATTGGACAAAAATTATTTAATTTGGTGTTCATTATCAGCTCGAAATTTATCTAAGTTCGGGACACCCTCTATATATCTTTTCCCTGTTCACTTAATGTGACTAACAATACTTTACTATACTCAAAAAGATAATAATAATAAGCTTCACTTGTCCCCAGTGGTGGAATTGCATTCTTCTGATCAAAATTCTGTATCTTGTATATCTTCTCCACGATTTCCGAAATATCAGGGACTCGAGAACAATATCGTTGCACTTGTTTGTTCTGGAAATATTCGACGTCGCATTATTGATACGCAGATAAGGATGACGGCAAATTCACCGACTCTCTCTCTCTCTCTCTCTTTGTCTCTCGCAAAATCTAATTACACTTCATCGAGCCGCGTCATTGCCCCAGCGATAAGCGGAGAAAAATTGAGGATTCCCGCACGCTCTTATTTACCGCACGCGTTCCTTATGCAACTTTCATAACAGGCCAACAACATTCACCTGTCCCCTCGAGACGTTTTTTTAATCGGCGGTTGCACAACACACACCGCGTCATACACAGCGGTGACGGTGTTATCTCGAAATGCGCGGGACAATGAAGAAATACGCAACGGACGTCGCTGCGAATTCCTTCGGCGATTCGTGATATGCCTCGTGGGCTCGGCTCACGCTAGGATCCTCCAGCACGCGATCCACGTCTCTCCGGACGCGTACATACAGGGTGTGTTGCAACCTTCGACCTCTAACAAGAAAATCAGATAACGAAAATCGCCCGGTCGTTTCGGAGATTAATATTTTTTTTTTTACTTATTCGAAAATAGAATTTTGATTTGAAGATATCTGAAGTCGAAGGCCGGAGGAAAGCTACGATTTCACGAAGAAAAAGTCGAATTGGTCGGAAGATCTGTCGTTAAAATCAAGGTCACGAGTTGCGGGACACCCTGTATGTGTGTGTTATTAACGATGAAATGCTCGAGTCACGCGTGCCACGCGCCTTGCACATGTGGATTAGGCGAAATAAAAAGGCTAAACGCCGATCTCCAGCGCTCCGTGAAAGTCCCGGATTGAAGCTGTCATGGCATCGTCGGCGCGGCCGCGCGCCAATCGCGAGATAAATTCGTTACGAAGAAGAACGAGGGAAATTAATAAAGCGACCGTGCGTCTGTTGCGTGCCGAGAGTTATGTGTCCGAGGTTGACAAACGCAGTTTCTGTCGTAACAGTTGGCATCCGTTTCGTAGAAACTCATGGAACACCGAGTTTTGAGAGGAGCAGCTAACTTATTATTCACATATACGTTATTATTATATCCGAATGAAAATCACATTTTCATTTGATTGCTCTTTCTTTGTTCAACTGAATATTCAGAGACACATGTGAAAGAGCAATAAGTTATTCTTTTATTCTCTCGCATGTAAGTTATGATTATATGATTATATTATATATATGTATATTTTTACTTTTTATTTAGAATTTTAGAGTTTAAAAAATTGGATTTTTTCAATTTTCCACAGATTCTTCAGTTTATTTTGTAGATAAATTGAAAAATTTAGTTATTTTTTTCGAGTTTTTTTCGCGGAAAAATGGAAAAACCCGGTTTTTTCCGAACCTTTAAAACTACCGGAGTCGAAATTTTGATTCTACATCAAGTCTACTTAAGTTCTACACTAAGTCTTCAAGGAAAGCAAACGGAAATAACTTCCCATTTGTAACACAAAGAAACACTAACAATACTCCTTTGATCTTACAAAAGGGATTTAGACCTCTCGGGAGAGATTTTAAATTCTACGTTGTCTTCAAGTGGATTAGACGGAAATGATTCCCCATTTGTAGTATCAAAGGGAACACAATAGGAGACCCCTGAAGACTTAATGTAGAATTGAAATTTCAACTCGGGTATACGTGATTCTCTTATTTTCTAACGTGTTCGATTATGATATATGACAAACGACGAATATTTGGGTGACTTAACATAGAAGAGAAGAGCGAGCGACACGTGAAGGTCCGTGCAACGCGATCTTCTCTTTTCTTACGGTCAGCCGCCTTGACAAATCGAGTTCTGCCGCCATCGTCGTAACGAGAACGCGAGAAGATCGTGCATCGCGCGAATTAGATCTTCAGCTCGAGCTTGGACGAGCAGAATTCTCTGCCGAAGATTCCTATGCGTTGCCGGGGCCTACATCCTTCAGCCGTTCGAAAGAGGCGTCGCGCGATTCTCCCGGGCGGCGCGACGCGTGATCGGAGATGCGGATGCGACCGAGTGAAAAAAGAAAAAAAAAGCGGAGGTCGCGTCCGATCTGCCGAGTCGCGGGGTATCGCGCCGCTCCGTGATAATGAATTCAGCCTGCTTGGACTTCGATAAATTATCTGTTAACGTCTCGCTGCCAGTGACACTAATCGGAACGATAAACAATAGCGGGTCGCGTCTTGGCGCGACGTGGCGTCTTGCGAAATGGCGAAGAGGTCGCGGAAGACGCCGATATAGCCGAGGACGCGTTGTTTTCGTCGTTTTGCACCGACGGGGGAGACGCGGGGAGGAGTAGGTAAATATCTCTGATGACGCAACGCGCGTTCATCGGCGAAGATGAGACCGAGAACGGTTCTCTCGTCCGCCAGGACGACGCGAGCTGGACTTCGCAGTGGACTCACGGTATTTCCGCTTCGCCTTCATCTTGCAGAATGGGATGCGCTTCATGATGAAATTCTTCACCCCCATCTTCGCAGCGTTCCCTCGTTTTCACGTCGTCGTAAGCGGATCTGCTTTTTACCGGGATAGAAAGGCGCAGTGCGTTCGTTGGTTATGTCGAAAGTTACTGTGCACTTATTAACGGCGCGCGCATCCGACTAAATGCATCGCCGGATCCGAGTCGAACTTGGGGATCGATCTCGCGGGGAGCGAACTTCACACCGCGTCGCGGACGGTTTCACGTACCAGCCGGCTGTTACTCACGACGCCGCTTCGAATCCATGTTCCTGTTTTCACAGTTCAATCGGATCGCTTCAACGAGCTCACTTTCTCTCTCTCTCTCTCCATCTATCTCTCAGCCGATCGCGTGTCAACAGGTCGCGCAATTTCTGAATTAAGGCACGCCGCGTGTCGCGCGTCCACTCACCCGTGGCCAACTTCACACGACGTCGCAGATCGAGCGACGCAGTAGAACGCGCGCGCAATCGGCACTCCGCGTCCGGCACAACAACTCCCGGATCGTGCGATCGATCTTTTCACCGGCGCGCGCGTACCGACTCTCGCGATCGTCCTCGCGCGATTTCGCTCCCGATTTCCCAGAATGACGAGGCCGTGTTGTCCAAGTAGTAAACAGTCGCCGCCGTCAACCGTCGTCAGCCGAGCACCGCGCAGCCGTTATACGAGGTTAGTATCGTTCCAAGTCTCCATCTTTGCGCCAGGACGGAAATTGGGTCGCTGGGCGCTTTATGAGCGCTCGGCGAGTTTAGGTCGCTCAGAATCGCCGGTAAAATTGGCTCGAGGCGACGACACGATCGCCTCCTGCACGCCGAAATACAGATAGTAGATCGTCGCTCGTTCCTTCGATCTTTCTCTCTCTCTCTCTCTCTTTCTTCTGTTCGCTCGTTCGTTTTCGGTGCTCCGATATGTACCCACGATGGGCTGCCGCCGCGGCACGGCGACAGTTTGCGTTTGACTGTGCGACGCCGAGGCACCGGCAAGCGAGCGGCGCCGGCCGTTCGCGCTAAGGTGAACGGAGAGGGGAACGAGAGCCTCTCTTCTCTTCTGCTAGCTTCTTCTCATTCCTCCCCTGCCCTCAACACCGGTCTCCCTCGGTGGCGCGATGATGCTTCGGCGATTTGCTAATCGCGGGAAAAAGAACGCACTCGGCCGCCCCCCTCCCGGCCCCCCTTTCGCGGTATCGTGCAACAACTCCCGTCTGGGACCGCGGATCCCACGGACGATTAGATTTTTCACGCGATTTCTTTTTTTCTCCCCGTTTCTCTTCACGGGAGAACGGCGATTCGACGTGACCCGGCACGACCGTGCCTACGACTTCTTGTCGATTCCGGACGACGAGGTATTCGAGGATGAAACTTGAATCCCGAATTGAAATTTCAGTCCTACTTTAAGTCTAATTTAATTCCACATTAAGTCTTCAAATATCTTGTATTATGCTTCCTTTAATACTACAAGTGGGAATTATTTCCGTTTTCTCCACTTGAAGATTTAATGTAGAATCAAGTAGATTTGATAAGGATAAAAATTTCGACTTGGGTGAACGTCAACAAAGACGTGAACGAATTTTCGGCGAGCTCGATTTCGCGTTGAGAAAGAATAACCGCGAATTTCAGCCCGGTTACACCGCGTAGACATCCGTGTCATCGCACTCGGCGGTTTTCTCGCAATTGTATCATCCTGACCAAAATTTCGCTGGAAATTACATTTCGAGAAAGAGAGAGAGAGAGAGAGAGAGACATGGGAGGATTAATTATGAGCGTTCGTTGCGCTCGAAAGAAAGTTTCAGCTCACGGAGGGAAACAAGAGCGGAGGAACAGTTAATGACGTGTGGAGAATTAATGAGATATCCCTCCCTCCCCCCGAAAGGTTCGCATTCCGTGTGCGAGCCCTCGCGTGTTTCACGCGTATATATATATTCCGTACGCATCATTAATTAATATCGCCTGCTTCCGATTACGTAACGACGAATAATGCTCATCCGATACCGATAATTAATTAATCAATTATCGCCAATTGGCTTCACCGTCTCTTTTTCCCCTTGATTGTGTTTGCGTTTGCGTTAGACATTCACAAATCGCGTGAATTTTGAAATTCTCCACGCGCGATTGTTTGCGCGGCCGCTAATCGAGCTCGTCGCTCGGATTTTGCAACGCGCTGACGTTTATTAAACGCGCGACCGACTCACTCGCGTTTTATTAATTTTTAATTGAGCGCTACAGCACGCAGCAGTGTTGATTAAGTAACGCTCGCTGCTGCGGCACAAAGTCGCCGAACGGTCAAGACATAAATCGCGGCTCGCGGCCGATTAATTGGACCATTTGTCGCGATTATCGTGACACACGTGAACACACGCGAATCTGAACGTGGGTAAACGATAATTATGTCTGATAATTATACACTGCATACGCACGACGTGCGACGTGAGAAGAAAAAGAGAGGAAGAAAAGGAAAAAGGCGCGCGGTTGCCGGCGTGTGAAACCTGCTTAATAAATTTTATTTATACACGAGCGTGCGCGTGACGCGTCGATTACGCAGTCATCGTCGTCGACGTCGGTGAGATTTATGTTACTCCTCGGAGTGGTTTCGCGATCTTATTTTCGTCCGTTCGTTCGTTCCCGATGCGTGCCTCGGAAATAGTTGAACCAGTTGCGCGCGTTCACAGCTCGACAGGTGCGGGGCAGCCATACGCGACCGACCACCTTGCCCGGGCAAGGCAAGGTTGCCCCGAAATGGCTAAAAACGGTCGGAGCCGGTGAAGTCACGCCGCACGATCTAGCCGTCATTTCCATCGATCTCGCGCGCGGAACGCCGAAGTTTAATCAGCCCAAAACCCCGCTCGCCCGCGCTATTTCGGCCTATTTCGAGAGCGGTGCGAAACTCGCTGTGGCGGCCGTCTCGTTGCCGTTTACGACACCGGCCAGCACCTCGTTACATTATCGTAACACGCGCTGTTTAACATACCTCCTTAATCAGACTCCGCCGGACGGCGGAATTAAACTCCGAGACCGCGCCCGTGGCGTGAAAATCGCGTGTCGTATGCGCGCGATTATTCGCGTTGTTATTCGAACTCGGCGATCACGATTCTTTACGCCAACAACGACACACGCGCGAAATTATCTCCCGCGCACCTCTATCTTCTCCGTAATAAAGGATCTCCCCGCGATAAGAGAATCTCTCCTCCCCTCTCTTTCTCCTTCACGGAGAAAAGTTTTTGCTCTCACAGCAAATCGCTCGTTAACGGTAAGAAGATTTTTTCGGACAGCAAATAGATTTGTCAAGAGTATCGTTAAGAATATTAATTGCTAATTATACCAACTAAATTTGATTTATTGTCGCAACGACGTTTTGCTGCAATGATAAAGTTATTTTTTGCCATGTCACAAATCTTTTTTCTGTTACTGTACATACACGGAGAAAATGTTGTAGTAAAAGTTATTACCAAAATTTGTAATGCTGGATTATATTTGAATTATTATCGAAATTATTATGTGTGTTGTAATCTTTAATGATGTATATCGTGTGTACATATCACTAAAGATTACAACACATATAACAATTTCGATAACAATTCAGGTATATTTCACACAGAGAAAAAAGATTTGTTGGAACAGCAAATTGCTTGCTAACATAGTGACAGCAAAAAAAGTTGTTACACGGAAAAAATAGTTTTGCTATTATAGCAAATGTTGCGATAGCAATAAAATTTAGTTGGTATAACCAAATTATTCTGCTGTCCATATATCCAGCAAATAGCAATTAATATTCTTAACAAATCTTTCTGCTGTCAAAACAAATTTTTTTGCTGTCATTATATTGACAAATAATTTGCTGTTGTAACAAAGTACATTTTATGCGTGCATTACAAACTTTTATAGTAATTTTTATACTGAGAAAAAGAAATCGAAATTTTGCGAAATAAATAAAATTGTTCTTGTGATATTTTCTTCGATATTGATTGGTTAGAGAAATATTTAACCGTGATGAAGGAATATATATTTTTGTGAAATATATCTTTTTATAAGTTTTTTTTATTAATTGATTTATTTGCTAAGAATACAATTTTATTTAACTAAACGTTTATTTCTGTAAAACAAATCTTATATTTCACAAATAAACTTTCAAGTCTTTTTCTCAGTGTACTATAATATTTTCCGCGTGTAGCAAAACAATTTGCTGTGTCAGCACAAAATTTTCCTCCGTGTTGTTCCTCAATGTCGCATTCGCTCGTTTATTTCGCGATTTAACGTTGTTATCGCGCGGAGCATTGGTGGGACCAAACATCGTGCGATTGTGTCGTCGATCGACGATGTCGTCGGAGAGCCTCGAGCTCGCCGCATCGACTCGGCGATGCAACGGCGACGCAACGGCGACGCAACATCGCGGGGTAACAACAACGCGGCGTCACGTGGAAATACGGCGGTGCAACCGCCGGTATAACAACCGGAAGCAGGTGGTTCCAGCCACGCACCGCCGGCTTTCCCGCCGTTCGCGTTCCGCAACGCGAGCCGCGGCTCTCCCCGCACGCACGCATTCACGCACGCACGCGAGTACGTGCATACATTCATACGTATGTACATGCGTGCCGCCTGTTTACGTGGCCGCGGAGAAACGAGCGAAGCGGGCGGTTATCTTCAAACCGCGATTTAATAGTACGTGAAGCGCGGTAAGAAACCGCGGTGACGCGCGACTGAGAGTGCAACGAGAACCGTCGCAACGATAATTAATCGGTAACGCGTCGTCGACGAGGATGTTACAACGAAACACGTACACGTGTGCGTGGTGTATGCCCCGCCATTTATTAAGTAAAGAATTACACGATTTTCAGCGTTGCGCATCTATAAACTGAAGAAAAGTGCTGCCGTCCAAGTAATATTTATTTGATCCAAGTTGAATGGTTAAACTCCAATATTTCTCGGCAAATATTTACTAAAAGTAGACAAATAATTGACTATATACATTTCCTTCTTATAAGTAGACATTTGCTTGTCTGATTGTGACAAATATTAAATTCACATAATATTGAGAATAGTATTAATTTTTTTAGAAAATATTTACCACAACGAAAAATCTCAATTTAAAACTATTAGGCTTCTTTAATGGGAAAGAAGTGTTACATAATTTTGGCAAATATTCTTTAAAGGACGGTGGATAAAGCGAGCCGATTTCTGCTTAAAATATATAATTTACATTATATATGTAATTTCAAGTTCTTTTTTGGATACTGAATATGATGGTAACATTCTTATCCGTGGGGAAATGGTTAAAGTTCGTTTTAAAGGATCGGAATAAATCACTTAATATTATAGTAATATGATTATATAGTGACGATTTTGTTTCAATTACTTCATTATTTATATTATAGTTTAGTCTCTCTTATCTAGCCGTTGCATATACATTTTTTCACTGCAAACTACAGAAACACTTCAGAAATGCTAGATCTAACATGAGGAAATAAATTTTATGCTTACATGCAGTAATTCATTTGCAAATTAAGATATTACTGCGTTGAAGCACGTATTTACTACATAAGCTATTCAAATATACTTAAGTCGACAAAAATAATACTTGATTTAAGAGGCTGAGAAACAGTTACTTGATTTACTTTATACTAGCAATTTTCTTTCTGTGTACGCATGAGGTCGAAAATTGCATACTCTCTCTAGTTATAATGGCAAGGTATATACATGACGCAGCGTGTATGTACGGCGTCAATTTGATCCATGTACGATCTACGTATCCTCGATAATCTACCATCTGCGGTTGGTGCAATCGACATTAGCGCGAATTACGCTTAGATATTCGAGAGTTAATAGTGAAACGCGCCTTTTTTACGTTATTCGGTCCGATATATTGGCGATGTGTTTCTTTACGGGTGTATTTCTCTCTGTCTTGCTCTCCTCCTGAACGCTCCCCGTTCAGGAATGTCTTCGTGAT